GTCTGACACGTGGGGAAACCAATCACCTTAGCTTAACAGTCTCCAAACCAAACAGATTTCCATGCATCCCACCTACACATGGAAATGCCGGAAATATTTATTGGAATGAAATGTGCAATCTTCTTGAAGGGATGCACCCTGCTTATCTAATTCCCAAAAGTATTAGGCGCAGTATTAGTGGCAAGCTTCGGGACCCCAGAGTGTGCGATGGGGTAACTGCTGGAGTCTAACCCCACATAGCTTCCCTGCTGCTTGTCCAGCTTGGACCATTCTACTCATTAGGGCTTTGTCGTGGAGGGTTAATACGAGCTGAGTGAGATGACTCCCTGCCCCCAGTGACTGGTCTGCCCTTCCAGGTCCTGCCCATGAGTCAGGCTGGCTGTGCTGTTATTAGCAGCCCCACTGCAGCTCTCCACTCTACAACAACAACAACAACAAGATTCCATTTATTGAGCGCCTTTCACGTCGGGAGGACGTCCCAAGGCGCTGCACAGTTGGGTCATGACCCGAGCATTGGGGGGAAATGGTCAGGGTGAGGGGAGGGAAGGGAGGGAGCGAGGAGGGGGGAAATGGTCAGGGTGAGGGGAGGGAAGGGAGGGAGGGGGGAAATGGTCAGGGTGAGGGGAGGGAAGGGAGGGAGCGAGGAGGGGGAAGAGAGTCGAGAGGGGAGCTGAAGGCTCTAACCCCATTCCCTGCTCTCTCTCCCCCCCCCATCTGTGCTGACATGTCTGAGCATTACAAAGAGGAGTGAGAGCGGGTGGGGGGTGGGTTGAGCAGCTTGTGATGTGTCTGCAGCTGTTATTGTTCACCCTTTAAAGTCTGCACCTGGAACCACAAGATTTGAATTGCTTTTATTCTCAGCCAGCTTTCCTCTTTCCTGCTCCCCCTCTCCTGAAGCTTGGCTGCCTCCCCTGCCCCTCTTCCCTCGTCCCTCTGTGGGGTTCTGGGTTCTGTTCCCCGCTTCAGTGGGTTGGTCCTGGCTGATGGTGGGCACCGTCATGTATAAAAGGGAATGTGATCTGTTCACTGACGTCTTCCTGATAAGCAGAGGGTTAGGAACTAATAATAATAATAATAATAATAATACAAATGACATCCTCTCTCCTCGGGCAGTGTGTGACCTCATGTTTAGTGCTTCAGTTGCTCGCACCACACACCTCTGCCGGCTGCGGGTGTGAGCACTAGATTTACTCCAGATATATTAGATTTACTCTAGATGTTCTAGATTATTAGATTTACTCTTGATTGCTAAATGAACTCTAGATGTACAAGATGTACGCTAGCTCCCTGGCATTTCAGAGTGTCCAGAACATGGCAGATTCTTGAACCACTTTTCTCTTAAGTTTCTTTTAAGAAAACTGGCTTCAATCTGAATTGAGCGATTTGCCGAATTCTGCCCATGTTGAAGCGTTCCGCAAACAAAGTAAATCCGACCTCGGGTGGAATCCCAGCATGGACACTTTCACATTCTGCAATGAACTCTATTGGAAAAGAGAAGGAAGGAACCTTTCTCCCTGGCTTCTTGGCCCCAACAATCCCCCAGATAAATTGATCGTTCATCTCGTGGCAGTGTGTGCAAAATTGTCTGCTGCATTTGCCAACAAAATACACAGTCACTACATCTGACGAAAGAAGCGTTTTGAGGCGTTTCTATGTGCAAGATTCATGTCGCCCCTTTCTATAAGCTTTGTCTCAAACTCCCCCCACCCCGGTGGTCTGTGTGCTTGAACAAAAAACATGTTGTATATCTAAAGGTCCAGACGAGGAATTAATGGTAGTTTTCATTTGAAAGTCACTTCATCAGGTGTGCACTTGTAGTGAGAGCTCTTTACTACCGGGGTTTAACACTTTTATAGTTAGTTATATTAGTGGCTGGGGTTCGATACTGAGCCAAATCCTAGTTAATGTTTAACCTGATTGAGGGACCAGGAGTTCTGCCAAGACCACAATATAATGCGGCAGCCACTAACTTTACACTCTCCAACTTCGAAAAGTTTGCTTTGTTACAAACTGACTGAAATTATACTACATCAGAGCAAAGCTCGCGCCCTGGACACTTAGCACCTATCCCCCCCCCCCTCACCCGTCTCCTCCCTGCTGGTGTGTCTGTCCACATGGGGCACCTCTCTCCAGTCTAACCCCACCCCCTCTCCCGCTCACTCCCTGCATTCTAATTCCCCCCTCACTCCCCATCTAACCCCACTCTCCCACCCGCTAGGCTAGTGTAAGCCCTACTTCTCATTCCCCCATTGCCCCCTCACTCCTCCTCCATTCCCCCATCTAACCCCACTCTCCTGCCCGCTCCCTGCAGTCTAACCCCCACTTACCCTCATTCCTCCATTCGCCCCTCACTCCCCCCAGTCTAACCTGACTCTTCATTGGGGCCGAGAGCAGTTACGCTGACTGGACGTTTCCCCCACAAAGCAATCAGTGCAAACCGAGTAGCTGCGAGAGACACGGCCTGACGCTTATTCCTCTCTCAGCCGCCAGCAAGGGATTGGCAGCCTGGAGCCTGCCTCACTCTGTGTCCAGGTGTGGCTCACGTTCACAGCTCCGGCTGCCCACTGCCATCCTCTCCATCCGTAAAGCGTGTGTGTGTGTTTGTGTGTGTCCCCCTCTCTCTAAGTAAATAATAATCCTTGCATTTGAAACAGCGCCTCATCACGTCTTCAAGACGTCTCAAAACGCTTCACAGAATACACTGTAAATTGAATTGACTATTTTGTGGGCGAATCGTGACAGCCAATTGCGCACAGCGGTGTCCCACAACAGTCGTGGATTGAGTCTCTCTCAGCCTGACACCTGTGTCGGTGTCTGGTGTTGCGACAAGGTGAGCAGCAGTGCACACGGGCACATTGATCCAGCATTGTCACATTGTCAGTGAGTTTGGCACTCTCTCTCCTGCTGGGATCTTGCTTTGGATCCAGCCCAGACGTTGGAGATCAGTCTCCTCTCTCCAGGGGCCACATAAGGGTCCTTTGTGCAGGAGGCCAGGTTACTCTCAGCCCAGCTCCTGGCGGGCAATGGCCCACAGCATAAACCTGTGTGTAATTTGGCAGTGAGTTAAGGTGTGGTGGAGAGCCTGTGTGAGGGGAGCTGGTGTAGAGGTGGGAAAGGCGCAGCAAGAAGCAGACAGGCTCCATGTTGTTGAGACCACAATGGGCTGAGCTGCTTTAGCCAATCGTGGCGCCTGGGCAAAGGTGTCTGCGACCCAGCCTCCTGCCCGCCTCTGCCACCCTCCAGCGAGTTGTTAGTTAATAATTAATTAATTAATCTCCTGTTAAAACTGCGGCAAAAACGAGACAGTTTTAACCAGTTGGCTGCAGCTCCGGCACAGATTTTGACACACGCCGTGAATTCAGCTCAGCTCACTGCAGGCACTTGGTGGTTTGTGGTAAAATAACAATAATAATCGTTGCTTTTGATACAGCTCTTTATCACGTGATCGAGACGTCTTAAAGTGCTTCACAGGATATACTGTAAAGTGGATTGACTGTGTTTTGTGGGCGAAACGCAGCAGCCAATTGTGCACAGCAGCGTCCCACAAACTGGTGGATTGAGTGACCAAATTATAAGGAAACTTGCCTAAGGAGATGCTGGGTGGCTCCTCTCCATGTTCCTGACCTTGGTCACAGCCTGTGAAGTCCAGAGGCTCAGAGCGGCTGTGACTGGATTCCCTGTGAGGTGTTTGAGAGCAGCAGGTGGGAGCTCAGTTATGGGCAGCTTGTGTAATTGTTACCCACAGCCTCTCGCTCTCACTCTCCTCCTCATTAATCTGCAGAGCTTTATATGAAAAGACAGTGGAACACAGATTGCTGGGGGCTCGATTTTATTGCTGAGCTGCTCTGGGGTTGTTTAATATCACGTCCGTCAGTGAAGGGCTAAAAATACCTTGTCCACGTCACACACTTAGCTTCATACAAACCTGGAAATGGCTCAGATTGCTGCACAAGTACAGCGACTGTAAAACTGGTGTTAGAGTAGAGCGCTCCAGTGGGGAACGAACACCAGACAGACACGATGGGTTGAATGTTCATGTATGTGCGATTGAAAGGAAGGGTTACTGTGTGTAAAGCCCAGTGGTGGGGTCAGTTTGCAGTGAGGATGTTGTGACATTACACCTGTTGACAGCCTCCCCTCTGTGTAGGCTTCGCTCAGCAGACTATCTCTCTCTCTCTCTCTCTCTCTTTCTCTTTCTCTCCTCTGTCTCTCTCTCTCTCTTGCTGCTCCTGGCTGCTGTGAATGTAAGATCAGAAAGAGATTGTCTATTTTTAACTCTGGCTGGAAGCCGCCAGGGCGAATTGTTCGCTGCGAGGTAATTCCAAGCCAGTGGGTTTCCTGTTTTGAACATGACTGGCTCTAAGCGCATCTGTGCCCGCAGGCTGCTATAGCCTGCCTGCTCTCCCCCGCCCACACCCAGCTCCCCCCTGCCCCCACCCAGCTCCCCAGCCTGGCAGTAATACTGCCTGTTCCCCCTCCCAGCTCCCCAGCCTGGCAGTAATACTGCCTGTTCCCCCTCCCAGCTCCCCAGCCTGGCAGTAATACTGCCTGTTCCCCCTCCCAGCTCCCCAGCCTGGCAGTAATACTGCCTGTTCCCCCTTCCAGCTCCCCAGCCTGGCAGTAATACCGCTTGTTCCCCCTCCCAGCTCCCCAACCTGGCAGTAATACTGCCTGCTCTCCCTGGCCAGTCCCCAGCCTGGCATGATTGTAGATTGGATATTTGACACAGTTTGGAGCAAAGTGTGTTACACACTCGCTCAACCTTAATGTTGCAACACCTCACCTCTGCACTGAAATCTCAGTCTGGCCAGTGTAGTGACTGTGGATTTGGCTCTGGCCAGTGTATTGACTGTTTGTCGGATTGCCTCAACTTTGCAAAGTCATCACCACAGGAGGAAAATCCCTCTGATGTGATAATGATCAACATCATTATTGTATTTTCCCTGACTGACTCTCACGGCCGCTGCTCACTGAGATTCTTTTTGTCTGTTCTTTTTCAGATCTGGGACTTGAGCGACGATGAAAGTTTCTGAACAGATTGCTGAACGAGCAATGTATGTACTGGGGGAGGTGAGGTGGGGGTGGGGGGCAGCGCTGCGCACAGTGCTGTGGTCTATGCTGGGGGATTGGGGGGATCCGCATGCTGTGTGGTCTCCCGGCGTTACTGTGGCTGTGATCACTTTAATTGTGAGCTTTTTCTGTGTAAATAAAGCTGATGGTTTTTAGCTGCTTGTCTCACCACCTCACCCCATTGTTGGTCTCTCTGCCCCGGGGCAGGACATTGTGTTGGGGGCTGTTGGTCACTTTCCTCTCTGGCGTCGAGCTCGAGGTCAGGCTATTGCACACTTGAGGCAGGTTACAGTAACCACAGTGCTCCCTGCAGGTTTCTTTAATGAAGTCATTCGCTAACAAATACAACATTATTGACTTTGTTTCTCCCCCCCCCCCCCCCAGCCCCAGAACGCCTGACCCCCGGGGCCTGCCTGCTTTACTTCACTCCCCCTTCAGTGCTGTTTGTGGCAGTCTGAAGCTTGGGTTGTTCAAAGAAACCAAGGGAGGCCATTCAGCCCCTCAAGCCTGTTCTGCCATTCTACAAGATCATGGCTGATCTGAACCTCAACTCCAATTACCCGCCCTTGCCCCATATCCATTGGTGCCCTGACCTAACAAACATTTCTCCACCTCAGTCTGGACAATGTGAATGGATCCATAATCCACAGCTTTTGAGGGATGGAGTTCTAGATTCCCACTGGCCTTTGGGTGAAAAACTGCCTCCTGATTACACTCCTAAATGGCCTGGCTCTAATTTTAAGTTCATACTCCCTTGTTCTGGTTTCCCCCACCAGAGGGAATAGTTCCTGCCTATCGGGGGGGGGGGGCGGGGGGCGTAGATCTGCTACTGTTTAACCCCTCATTGGGATATTATTATCCTTCCACCCAACCCCCCAGTGCTCAGTAACACATAGATCACAATCTGACTGGCAGAGCGGCCCAGCATAGCGAGTATCTGTCCTTTTCATCTCACACTTGGGGTTTGAATCTCTTCCAGACTTTCTCTTGCCCTCGTGTTTCTCATTTTCTTTTTCTCGTTCTCTCTGTGTGACTCAGAGACCCTGTGTGTGTGTGTGTATCTCCCTCGTTCTGTAACTCAGTGCCCTCCCCATGTGGGGCGAGATGTGGTCATCCTCCAGCAGTTAGGATGCCCAGTGTATAAGCTGCACAATGACTGGCACAGGAGCCAGGGGTTGGGCTGGCGTGGGGACCCCGAGGGGGAGGGAGTCTTGCTGGAGGCCACAGCAGAGGGTGATTTTACTCTCACAGCCACAGATTTCAATACCGGGGCGGGTGGGGTCATCAGCACATCATCTCTTCCTTGGTTTCCGACCCCCTCCCCTGTTCCCACTCTCTCCTCACCATACCAACCCCCCCCCCCCACTTCCTACTTATACCCTTCCTCCCTCCCCCCAGTTCTCAATCGTCAACAACTCCTCTATTAGAGAAACGTGCCTCAATGTCTAGCTGCCCTATGACTCTGTGGGGTTTTTAAAGGGCAGAAACCTGGCCAAATCTTCCAGGAATTACATTAACCAGAGAGTGTGAGAGAGATCTCTCGATCAACGTTTCTCCGCACAAACATACAATGAAATAAAACAAGTCCCTGGAAACAAACCTCATGGTTTAAGAGCACTTTATTGTTCTTTGAGGCGACTTTAAGTACAAAAAGTAGCCTGTCAAAAGCTTTTTTTTAAAAAAAAGTCTCCAGATTTTGGGTGAAACATTGCCTGCAAACAAAGAGGATCTGTGTTTGTCACGTTTACAGAGCGAACCTCACAGCGAGTGCCCAGGAGCAGTGTGAGTGTGAGTTGTAGATGAATCCAGTCTCTACTTTATTTTTATTCTTTAATGACAAAAAAAAACTTTACAAAGCGTTTTTCTTTGTCTTTTGCAGCGAGCAATCATCCCTGGATTGCTGCTGGGAATATTTCCTTGTTCACTTGTCTCACTTTATTGTTAAAATAAAAATTAAAAATAAAAAGACAAATAGGCAGACAAACCTCTACAGTTCCTACTGTTAAATGTTCAGTAGCCCCTGTAAAGTGACTGGTACTAATCCACTATTAAGAGTAACTGTGTTCCTGCACTTTATTTTTAAAAAATTCTTAAAACCTTAAAACGGACAAATCTACACCAAATAATAAAAAAGTTCAACTTTTTTCTTTTTTTTCCTCCTCCAAAAGAAATGAAAACGGCAACGACAACAACAACAAAATCGATTATAACAAAAAAAAGGAAAGGGGTGGGGGAGGGGGGGAAGAAATTAAATAGCTACAGGTCATTAACAAATTGTTCCTCAAAAAATACCTACGAATTCATTGTACATTCATTACGCACAGCGCAATGATAGTCTTATAGTTCCCTATATAAAAGTGTATCATTTAGTGATTTTCCTACAGAGTAGGGCGGGGTCGGGGGGGGGGGGCAGCGAAGAGGACCCAGCACGTTGGCTGGGAGGGGATGGTGGGGGGGAGAGGAGGGGTGAAATGTGTGGCTTTTATTGACTGATTAGCGGAATGTTGATGGTCTGTGTGTGCGGCGCAGTGACATGTCGACAGGGCATCTGTACAGACTGTGTCTCTGCCTCCACTGATGGCCCGAGGAGCCGGCGATGTAATGAACAGAGTGGGGAATGGAGGAATGTTTATCTGGAACAGGGCAGGGCGAGGGGGCCGTGGGCGAGGCAAGGAGCAGGGCAAGGGGGCAGGGAGCAGGGGACAGCGAGCAAGCAGAAACCTTTACACTATCAGAGCCCGTAACAGCGAGTTGGGACTGGTCTACCATCTGACACTACAGCAGTAATGGGAGCGTTCATACTCTCTCTCTCGATTGCTTGTTCGTTCACTCTCTCGTCTGTTCCCTCTCTTTCTCTCTCGCTCGACCCCTCTCTCATTCGCCTTCTCTCTCGTCTCCACTCGCTAGTTCGCTCTCTCACTCATTCACTCTCTCCTGCTCATTCTCGCTCTCTCGCTCAGTTTCTCTCTCTCTCACTCACGCTGTAACTGTAATTGCAGAAAACAAGCTCCACTTCTCCAGGGCAGTGTGTGCCATGAGCCTATTGCGCTCGAGACACCAGCTATCTCAACAGACACCTCATGCAGCTTCTTTTAATATGGAGCTTTGGGTCTCGTCCCCACGATAACTAACGGCTGCTGACAGGCGTGGGTTTGGGGGGGAAAAGCTGCGTCCTTTTACACTCCATCACTTTGTGGCCAGAGCCCGAGGACTGAATCGTGGCCTAAAACTGGAGACAGACTGGTGACCACACAAGGCTTTGCCTTCCCGAGGCTTTGCCCCTTCCCGCACCCCCCACTCCCCTCGTGCTCCACACTAGTGCAAATCAGCCGCATGCTTCCTTTCAAGTATAAACAAGCCCCCAAAAAGGCAACAGGAAAAGCAAGGCAATGGGTCAGAGAGGCCGAGTGTCTGGGTCAATCAATCGCAGCATGGCTTGTGTTTTTTTGGGTGAGGGTGTGGGGGGCACATTTACTTGGAAGAGGTTTCTTTGGTAACAGAGCCAAGAAGGAGGGATATCAGGCCAAACCCAGCGTTTGTGTGAATAGTTCCTGCTATTGTCTCTCCCCAGGGGCAGCCCCTCCGCAAACGCTAAGCAAATACACAAGTTATTTATATATTTATAATATATATAAAAAAAATTCTCCGCCCTCCCCCCCCCCACTCTTTCTGCAGTGTTCCCGCTCAGTCAAACCATGCATTCACTCGGGAGCGAGCAGTGTGCGCGCGCGCGTGCGGGCGGGCCCTGCCCTGCGTTCACGAGACGACGGAGGGGGAGTGATTGTGGGTGACCATGTGGGAGGCTGGGGGGGACTGGCCCCTCCGCGAGACCCCCTCCCCGCCCGCACACACCCCGTCCTTTGCGGCTTTGATCTGCAGCCACTTCTCGCCCAGCGCTTTGGCAAAGTGGTCGTCCACGGAGCCGGTGATGGAGACGGAGTTGGCGGCTGGCTCCGGCTGTTTGTATTTCTCTCCCAGGCTCCGGCGGAAATGCTCCTCCACAACCGGGTCACAGGCTGTAGCGCTGGCCAGAGAGGCTGAGAGACAGAGAGAGGGAGATGCAGAGAAAGACAGAGTGAGAGAGAGGGGGAGACACAGAGAGAGACACACACACACAAACAGAGAGATGGGAGAGGGAGGGGAAAAGAGTCAGTGAAAAAGAGAGAACGAGGAGGAAGGGAGAGAGATGGTTGTCAGTAAAAAGAGCAGAATCTTCAGGCACTGAACACACAGTTTACAGCCGTCCCCCCGCCCCGCGAGCTGTCAGCCAGACCCTGGCACAACTCTACTGGCTACAGAGTGAGGGAAAGAGACAGAGAGCGAGAGAGAACGAATGAGTTCTGTTCTCATGACCCCACTGCCCTGGCTCCTTGCTCAGGATGTTCGTCTACAAACCCACAGTCACTACACAGGTGGCAGCAGTCATAAATCAAATGCAACAAATATTTTCCCTGTTGCGATTGGTGGTAACTTACGGTTGGAGGTCCTGCGGTAGTTGAGGGGCAGAGCAGGCACACAGCCACTGTGAGCGATGGGGCAGTGAGACAGGTTACAATTCCGGTTGTTAGCCGAGGCACAGGTAATCACTGAAGGCCGGTTCTGCACAAAAACAACACACGTTAGAAACAAGGTCAACCTCTCTCTATAGGCTCTGGGGGAGCGAGCCCCAGCAGCGACATGATGGGGAGTGAGAGAGCAGGGAATGGGGTTAGGGTAGAGAGCACCAGTGGGGGAGCGAGCACCAGCACAGACACGATGGGGAGAGAGAGAGCAGGGAATGGGGTTAGGGTAGAGAGCACCAGTGGGGGAGCGAGCACCAGCACAGACACGATGGGGAGAGAGAGAGAGAAGAGGAGCAGGGTTAGAGTGTTACCTGCTGACGATCGATGCCGATGCTGTTTTTGGTCAGCGCGAGTGGCTGGTCCAGGGGCAGACCGAGGCCGGGGTAGCTGTGGCCACCGAGATGGTTCATGGCCCCAACTGGACGCTCGATTGGACTCCGGCTTCGCTCCCGATGCTGATCCTTACGGTAATCACCGTTGGCAGGTTTGTTCCTGGAGAAAGAGTATGACATTAGTGTTGGTCATCATAGAAACACTGCCAGATATTTGCCACACTGCAGTCAACGGAACTCACACAGCGCAGGGCAGAGGGACAGTCTGGGGGTGGGGTGGGGGAGAAAGAGGAATGGGTTTTCGGAGAACCATGGCTGATGACAATTTCTGTGAAGTGTATTGACTGTTTTATTATACTAATAATAATAATACTTGTATTTAATATAGTGCCTTATCACAAAATATTATTTTGCCCACAAAATATACAGTCAATCCACTTTACAGTATATTCTGTGAAGCGCTTTGAGACGTCTTAAAGATGTGATAAAGCGCTATATCAAATGCAAGGATTATTATTATCATCATCACGCCGTTGAAGACATCTCAAACCACTCCACAGGATATACTGTAAAGTGTAATGACCGTGTGTTTTGTGGCCGTTGTGTCGGGGACAAACACGATAGCTAATGCGTGCATCGCGACATCCTGCAAACAGCCAGGAAGTGAGCCGCCTCTACCCTGGGATTGTCAGCCGGGGACAGAGAGAGAGATAGAGAGAGAGACAGGGATAGAGAGAGAGAGAGGGATGGAGAGAGAGAGGGATGGAGAGAGAGAGTGAAACTCCTTCCGCCTGAGCAGCACCTGTGACAGTGGGGTCGGCAGGGGCTGAGTTGAGTTCAGGACATTAATTACGGAGCGATGTGTAAGCTGGAGATGTGAGAGGAAGTCAGGATGTGTAGTTTGTAGTCTGATACCCAGGTAAACACACAGCAGCACTGGGCTCAGTGAAGCTCGGCACATAACCAGCAGCTCACACACAGACAGTCTTTGTTCTCATTACATAAACCCAGAGACAAGAAAATCTAAACCTCGGACTAGATTACTGACACATAAACCTGTCTCACACCTAGTGTTAGAGACAGAGGAGAGCAGCGCGGCTGATCCCAGTGTTGGAGGCTGCTTTGCCCAGGCAGTAAAGTGTATTGACCGTGTGCTTTCTGGACGAATCCGGCAGTTAATTTGCGCACAGTGACATCCCCGCAAGTAGCTATGAAGCGAGCGAGTGAGCGAGCGTCTCTCTCCACAGTTTCAGAAGAAAAAGAACTGGTTTCCGGGCGATGACTGTAACTGGGAATCTTCTTGGCCGTTGTTCCCCATCGGAACGTGACGGACGGTGACGGTGTCAGGGCTGAGACCAGGGGTGTTCGTGGGGCTGGGCGGGCGTCAAGCGCTGTCTCTGAGCGAGCGAGTGAGCGAGCACTCGGTGGGAAATCGGTTGCAGCCGATGGCGCAGTCACAGCTGGTTTTGTTTTTTTATAAAAACTCCTTTAAACAGCGGCCTGGAAGGTTCTGGTACTGAGCGTCCTGTAATCAGTGAAAAGGCAGCCAGAGCCCAGCCTAGCCCACCCCCACCCACCGCCTTAACCCCTGCCCCAGCTCAGCCCCCAAACCCCAGCCCACAACCGTCCCCAGCCACCCAGCCCCAAACCCCACCAGGCAACAACCACACTTCACAGCAAAAATCCCTCCTTCCGTTGGCCCACATTAGTCCGAGAGACAGACACACACACACTGATAGGGAGAGGGACGCACACACATAGCCACAGAGGCAGACGCGCACACGCACGCGCACACATATAGTTCCTCTCAATTTTGCTCTGCTCTTCGTTGGGTGACTTTTACTGCAGCGAGCGGCTGCTGTGGGAAGCTGATGTCAGAGTGTGGGGCGGGGGCCAGCTGGGGGATAAGGAGCTCTTTGTGCTCACAGAGAAACCACCACAAACAACCCAGGCTTAGCCCAGCCCCCAGCCCCACAGCACAGCCTCACGCAGCTCAGCCCCCGCACAGCCCAACCTCGTGAAGCCCAGCCCCCAGCCCCTACATGGCCCCCAGACCCACACGGCCCCCAGACCCCACACGGCCCCCAGATCCTACACGGCCCCCAGGATATTACTGCATAGCACAGTATAGAACAGCGAACAAAACAACACAGGACACTAACAGCTCCAAAGTGAATGAAACAATCAGGTTCTGTCCAGTGTAGTGACTGTGTGTTTGTGGGCACAGGCGGCAGACAATCACGCACAGCAACTTCCTGCAGAGCTCCGAGTCCCTGCCCCTGGGGGCAATTCAGCTGAGCACATGCTCTCTGTGCAGTCACCACGAGAGACCTGGCGGGGAGTGTGTCTGTGTGCGAGTGACTGTGTGTGTGCGAGAGTCAGTGTCTGTGTGTGAGAGCGAGTGTGTGAGAGCGAGAGTGTGTGTGCGAGAGCGAGTGTGTGTGAGAGCGAGAGTGTGTGTGAGAGCGAGAGTGTGTGAGAGCGATAGTGTGTGCGAGAGCGAGAGTGTGTGAGAGAGAGAGTGTATGTGAGAACGAGTGTGTGTGTGAGAGTGCGTGAGAGCAAGAGTGTGTGTGAGAGCGAGAGTGTGTGAGAGCGAGTGTGTGTGTGTGTGTGAGAGCGAGAGTGTGTGAGAGCGAGTGTGTGTGTGAGTGTGTGTGTGAGCGAGAGTGTGTGAGAGCGAGAGTGTGTGTGTGTGTGTGTGAGAGCGAGAGTGTGTGAGAGCGAGTGTGTGTGTGAGTGTGTGTGTGAGCGAGAGTGTGTGTGAGAGCGAGAGTGTGTGTGTGTGTGAGAGCGAGAGTGTGTGAGAGCGAATGTGTGTGTGTGAATGTGTGTGAGAGCGAGAGTGTGTGAGAGCGAGTGTGTGTGTGAGTGTGTGTGTGAGCGAGAGTGTGTGTGAGAGCGAGAGTGTGTGTGCGCGTGAGAGCGAGAGTGTGTGAGAGCGAGTGTGTGTGTGAGTGTGTGTGAGAGCGAGAGTGTGTGTGAGAGCGAGAGTGTGTGTGAGAGCGAGAGTGTGTGTGTGCGTGAGCGCTGAGCCTGGCACAGCCCGGGGGGGCGGTTATCGGAGCTGGAATCCCCCCGTCACGTGCCCATGTGCGGCGCCCGCTCTGGGATGTGAGGGCCACGGAGGGATCGCCAGGCACTGGGGAGGGAATCGGCTCCGGCTGCAGCACTACATCACTTCCCGGCCATGTGGGAATGTGCGGAATGTCACTGTCAGCATTATTACCATCCCGTCAGCATTCCCTCCCCGGCCTGGGAACCAGCACAGCCCCCCCCAATTAACCTCATCTGGTACACTACCCCCTCCCCCCCCCCCCACACAGTTAATCTTCAATCATGGAGCTGTTTCCCCATATCTTGGGGCCGGGGGGGGGTCCGGGGGTGTATTCGATGTGCGTGAATTGTTAAACAACAAAGTGATGAGGGCGGAAAGATGATCGGGGGAAAGGGGGGAGATGATTCAGAGGGAGATGATCGGGGGGGGAGAGGGGGGAGATGATAGGGGGGTGAGGGAGAGATGATCGGAGGGGGGGGGAGATGATCGGGGGGGAGAGGGGGGCACTTACACAGGTGTGATGAAGCCGCGGCTGGCCTTGTTGGAATGCTCGCTATCGCTGGGGGGGTAGGGCTCGGGCTCCTCGCTGCTGTACTTCCTCTTGGTGGGGCTGATGGGGGGGGGGCCCGTGCGGTGGTTGGAGAGGACGGACGTCACCGGCATTGTCTGCATCCGTCCCTCGGCTCTCAGTGTGGCCTCCCCGACACCTACAGCAACAGCACACAGAGGGTCAGAGCCACAGCATGGAGACTGGCGCTCACACACACATACAGGACCACCTAACATGCACCCCCCCCCCCCGCCCACACACAGCAAGCCCCTACCACACAGACACACACACACATTGAGAGAGACACAACAACTTGAATTTGTATAGCGCCCTTCACGCAGGGTAGGGTCCCGGAGAGCTTGGGCACACGCAGTGAGACTGAGACTCACTCAAACACACACAGCGTGAAACACACACACACACAGCGCGCCCCCACCACACGCACCCACAGTGAGTCACACACACACACACCCCCACCCTTCTCTTCCTCAAATCACAAGAAAAACAAACAGTGACGGGGACGGACATGCCGGGATGTACAGTATTTACAGGCAGTTGCTGGCGGCTATCAGACAGGCAGTGGGGTTGGGGGGAGGGCGAGCCGGGGGGGCAGAGTTGGGGGGGAACAAGCGAGCGGGGGGGGCGGTGGAGGAGTGAGCGGGGAGGGGAGAGGCGCTGCCACTCTGGGCACGCTCCGTGGCAACCAACAGTGACCTCATGCTTTTGGCAGGAAAAGGAACTTTAACAGGTTTAATTACTTTTCCTGAAAGAGAACAAAAGCCCTGAGTTCCCGCCGCTGACTGACCGGCCTGTGGTCCGAGGTGACGTGACCAGTGCTGAGCCCACAGGCTAGTCACCGGGTTACAGCTTGAGCCCCTGGCCTCAACAACTTGTACTGATACAGCGCTTCCCGCGGGGTAACATCTCGCAGCTCGCCCTGGGATCGGGATTAACAGGTCTGCTTACACACTGCAGGGATAATCTCCCTCCCTCAACCCCCCCACACGCACACACACACCTGCGCACACGCACACACAGCTGGCTCTTCAGGGCAACAAACCAATGCGGCTTGAACAGAAACACCACACTCAGTGACAGAGGAAAAAGCGACAAAACCGCACACCGTCACGCAAGCAAATTCCCCACTACCCCGGGGGCAGGAGGGGGCAAGGTCAACTGTAGCCACAGCCGAGACTGCTTGCTCGTCCCATTCCCTGCTCTCTCGTATCTGTGCTGGGGCTCACTCCCCCACTGGAGCTCTCTACTCTAAACCCCATTCCCTGCTCTCTCTCTCTCTCCCCATCGTGTCTGTGCTGGGGCTCGCTTGCCCCACTGGAGCTCTCTACTCTAAACCCCATTCCCTGCTCTCTCTCTCTCTCTCTCTCCCCCCTTATTGTGTCTGTGTTGGGGCTCGCTCCCCCACTGGAGCTCTCTACTCTAACCCCTTACACTTCAGAATGAGGTTTCCTGTTAATTAAAACAAGCTGGAAAATTATTCTGAAAAATGCCAATTTCTTTTAGTCTGAACAGCACATGTTCATCGATTGTATATTAATTGGAACCAGACCCCGGGTGTAGACACTCCCTACGTTAGCTACCCCCATAACCCACTCCCTGTGCACCCCTCGCCCTGTGCCCCCCCAGCCCATGACGTGTCAAACAAACTATTACTGTTCTCTTTTTGAAAATGGGCACACTCGGTGTTACCATCCGACCCACAGCATCTCCCCCCCCCCCCCCCCCCCGATCTACTCCTGACACCGGTAAACACTGAGCGCAATCATGAAACCAGACTTTAATCTACAAACAGTCAACACACCTCACCGGACCTCAGCACAGCCGTGTCACTAATGCGCTCAGGGCTCACCTGGATTTTGCCACTGACAGAAATGCAGCCCCTGCCTCAGTTCTAACCCACCCCCCACCTCCCCACATGCCCAATACCCTCCCCCAGTGGAATCCGAGGGTAGAGCTGTGAAGTGAGCGGTAAAAAGCGGGTCAGTAAATGGGACGTTTTATACGGAGTTTATCAGGTTGATCAGACAGCACTGAGGATGTGAGAGGAAGAGATTTTGTGAATGAAGCTGTCTCCTCTCTCTCTCACATCCTGTCTCTATCCCCCTTTCTGTGCCTATCTCGCTTCACCTGAACTCCTTGTGGGTTTGTGCTTTCTGCTGTGCATCTCCTGACATAGTGCCACAAAAGAAAGGAGAGACAGGGAGGGAGAGAGAGAGAGACAGGGAGGGAGGGAGGGAGAGAAAGAAATGGGGGGAGAGAGACAGAGGGGGAGAGAGATGGAGAGAGGCAGAGAGAAAGTGGGGGGTGGGGGGGGAGACACACAGAGAGGTGAAGCGAGATGGAGAGAGGGAGGAGAAAGGTGGGGGTTGAGGGGGAGAGTCAGAGAGAGACAGGGGAGAGAGGATGAAGATAGATTAATGAAGGTTAATCCTGGTGTTCAGTAAAATGGTTGTAAGAAGCTCAGTTTCCTCCATCCAACACTTCCTAGGAGCCAGGCTTCAGGGCAGACAGAGAGGATAATGATAGCTCCCTCCCCAGCCTCAGTATCCAGGCAAACACTGCTTTATTCACAGAAACATCCAGGAAACCAGGTAAAAACACCACAAAACAGCTAAGTTATTACAGTACTACAATGGGCGCAAAGAGAGGGGGAGAGAGAGAATAAAAATGAGAAAAATGAGAGCGAAATGTGAATGAGTGAGGGAAAAGAAGGAGGGAAAAAGAAAGAGAGCAAGGGAAGGAAAGAGAAGGAGATAGAGAAAGTGAGAGAAACAAAAAAGAAACGAGAGGAAAGTAGAACATGAGAAAAAAAGAGAAACCGATCCTGAACTTCTTCCATTTGCCGGACAAACGAGACTGCTTCCAGGTCACATCAGCTGCCAGACAAGAGCAGTCAGTCAGAGCCGGGGAATAGCCAGCGACTGGGGGCCTGGTGGGGGTGGGGGGTGCCGGGGTGGGGGAGAGAGAGCGTTAAAGATCATTAACCAAGGACTGAGAAATCCAAACTGCTAAATTAAAACTTTTTGAAGCAATTATTTGATTTTGAGTTTTGAATTCCCTGACTCCACACACAGCAGTGAGTAGGAGCCCAGTTGTTAGTTGATTGGCGGATCGCTTTCCGGGGGAAATAATCCCTTAAAAAAAAATGTGGTCACTCAACCCACGACTGTTTGTGTGGACGCTGCTGTGCGCAATCGGCTGCCGCATTTTGTCCGCAAAATATAGTGTCAACCCACTTTACAGTACATCCTGTTAGACGACTTGAGACGTCTCAAGGACATGATAAGGCGCTGTATCGAATGCAAGGGGATTTAAACTAAGACATATGTCTACATGTCTAGCCAGAGCTATAGACATACTAGAGACATGTCAGGGAGAACATGAGGGATTTGGGGTTCTGAACCCCGCTATTTTGGTGATTGCTGGAAACATTAATACCCCAACATACTGTAACAGGATCAGCTTTCCCACACGCGGGGGGGGGGGGGGGGCAGCACAGCAAAGTAATCGCTTAATTCAGCAAAATTCAGCTTTCCAATAACTTCTAAAGACAGAGTCAACTGAAGAGGAAAGAGAACAAAGCAGAGACACGTCCAGAAAACAATGGGACAGGATGTGGGTCTCCCCCCCTCCCCGAACTCTCTCCACCTCTCTCTCCCCCCACTCCCCACTCGAAATTCTCTCCTCCTCCCTCTCTAAACTATCTCTTCTCCCTCTCCCAACTATCTCCTCTCTCTCCCACTCTCTAAACTGTCTCCTCCTCCCAATGACTTGGAGCTTTGACAAGAAACGAGCAAAATGGTTGTCAGCTTTTCCAGTTGGCCTCGAAACCACTGCAGTGTAACTAAACTAACCCCAAACCACAGGTACCCACTGCTTACATCAGCCCCCAAACTGACTACTGACTGAGGCTGAGCAACACTATCCCAGCCTGACCCCCCCCCCCCCCCCCCCCACCCCAGGCAGGAGGGGAACACAGGCACTCCACAACTGGGGGAGAACTCCCCGGGTATACTAACCAGCCATCCTGTCCCAAACACACACAGAGAGAGACTGAGGGAGAGACAAATAGATTCTGGGAGAGACAGAGAGTCAGAGGGAGAGACAGACAGAGGGAGAGAAAGAGAGAGACAAGAGAGGGAGAGGGAGAGACAGACAGGGGGGCAGGGGGAGAAAAGAAGGGAAGTGAGACGGAGAGAAAGAAAGGAAGTGAGAGAGAAAATAAGAGGGAGAGAGAGAGAGAAAGAAAAGCACTTTGGAAAATAATGGCGTCTTTGTTCCCCCCCCCCCCCCCCCCCCAGGCTAAGGTACCTCTCTGCAGCCACACAATTAATTGGAAAAGGAAGTCGAAAAAAAGCACAACATAGAAACATAGAGGAAAAAAACTGACCAGCTCTTTCCACCAGCGGGGATTTAATCCCTCAATATCACCCTGACAGGTGATAAATGGGGGCTTGTCATTAAAATAACTAACTCCCAACATGGGGGGGGGGGGGGGAACTTTATAAAAAGTCAGTGTTTTCGGTGTCAAAGTCGGTGTAGCAGTTTTACAGCAAAGCTTTCACAGAGGATAATCCTGGTTACAACACAGCTCAGATGTGGGGAGAGAGAGACACACACAGACACACAGACACAGATGTAGAGAGAGAGAGAGAGAGAGAGAGACACACAGACACAGATGTAGAGAGAGAGAGAGAGAGACACACAGACACAGATGTAGAGAGAGAGACACACACAGATGTAGAGAGAGAGAGAGACAGAGACACACAGACACAGATGTAGAGAGAGAGAGACAAAGACACAGATGTAGAGAGAGAGAGACACACACAGACACAGATGTAGAGAGAGAGAGACACAGACACAGATGTAGAGAGAGAGAGAGAGAGACAGAGACACACAGACACAGATGTAGAGAGAGACACACACACAGACACAGATGTAGAGAGAGACAGAGACACACACACACACATCTGCTCTGGCAACTCCAGCAAAGTGAAGCTTCGGATTGCCAATGAATGGAGGCTCCATAAACTGTGTTCTGCCAACACACACACAACAGGGAAAACAACAGACATTTTAACACAAATAGGTTTATTAAAACCAATGATTTCTTTAGACAATACAATGTAGCCCCCAACA